TGTTTTCCTTCAACCCATGATAAATCTAGACAGATCAGTCAACCACCTTGGTGGGACTGTGAACTTGAAAACTTAAAGATGGAAAATACCGTGCCCTGAGAGGACATAGAGACTATTGTTTAGATATTAGTGTGTTCAGGGAGTTGCGATCTAAACTCAAGAAAACTTTTGCACTTAAAAGACAATCTTATCAAAATCAACAGCAACAAAAACTAATTGAATCAAGAGCTAATCCTAAATTATTCTTGAAATTGTTAAAGCAAGGGAGACAATCACAATTGCTAGTTGGAATAGAACTGATGAATGGATGAAGCACTTTTCTTCCCTCCTCCACTCAGAAAATTAACCCATCTTACCTCCACCAACAGACACAGATAATTATGTAACTGATGATACCCCGGCACATGAAGATTTAAATTAACCTATAACAAATCAAGAAGTTGAACAACATATCCAAAAGCTTGCAAATAATAAATCACCAGGACCTGATGGTACTGTCTCTGAATAGTTCAAGAATACAAAAAATATAATTTTACCTACATTGACTGCTCTCTTTAATGAAATACTTGACAATGGTGTGTTACCAAATGCTTGGAATAGAAGTATCATTTGCCCTCTTTTTAAGTCTGAAGACAAGCATGATGTAAACAACTACAGGGGAATATCCTTGATTGATAACTTGTGTAAAATATTTACCTGTATCATAAACTGGAGACTTAAGAATTTTTGTGAGAAAAATAACATAATTGATGAACTACAAGCAGGATTTAGGTCCAATTATTCAACTATTGACAACATTTTTAGTCTGCAGGCAATGACTCAAAATATGCAGGGAGAAGAAAGGGGAGATTTTACTGCCTCTTTGTTGACTTTTCAAAGGCATTTGACACCATAAGACATGATAATCTACTGAAAAGCCTACATGATGTTGGGATCAAGGGTAAACTGTTCAATATAATTTCGTCAATGTATTCAAGTCTGTGTGCTTGTGTAAGGGCTTCAACTGGACTGACTGATTATTTTGAATGTAATATTGGCACCCGGCAGTGCTGTTTTTTTAGTCCACAACTATTTATAATATTCATAAACAAGCTTTTAATTCAACTTGAAGACTGAGGAGGAGGTGTTTTTATATCACAAGATTTTAAAAATGTTTCTGCAATAAAGTTTGCAGATGATGTTTCATCTGTATCAGGGGCGGTCGGGTAGCCTAGTGGTTAAAGCGTTCGCTCCTCACGCCGAAGACCCGTGTTCGATTCCCGACATGGGTACAATGTGTGAAGCCCATTTCTGGTGTCCCCCGCCGTGATATTGCTGGAATATTGCTAAAAGCGGCGTAAGAACCATACTCACTCACTCACTCACTCACTCATCTGTATCATATTCAGCAGTTCAACTACAAAAGAAAATTGATGCTCTACACTTATTCTGTTTAAGACAAGAAGTAAAAAAGAAGAAGACAAAAGTAATGGTATTTAGAAATGGTGGTCCCCTAAGAAGTTATGAAAAGTGGTCATATTAGTGAAAGCATTGATGTTCCATTTTACAGATATTTATTAATTATGTTCACCCCCAAACTTGTGTGGACCCAGGCTCAAACATGTTTAGCTGCTCAGAGTTCCAAAGCTGTGTTTGCCATAAATAGATATCAGAAGAAACTTGGTGATATTTCATGCAAAGATTTATTCAAAATTATTGATAGTATTGTGACACCTATCCTGTGCTATGGCTCTGAAATCTGGGGTGTTAATTACAGCAAAATCATTGAGGATATTCAAGTTAAGGTGTGCAAATCAGTTCTTCAAGTGTCAAGAAATACATGTAATGTGATGGTGCTCGGTGAGTGTGGTAGAGCTCCTTTACAGCTTACATATATGACAATAGCTGTGAAGTACTGGTGCAGGCTGATACAACTGAGCCCGGAGAGACTACCATATATCAGTGTTACAAGATGCTAGCTGTTCTGGATGATTCAGGTCGCACCACCTGGACCACCTGGACCACCTGGGCCCGGAGAGACTACCATATCAGTGTTACATGATGCTAGCTGTTCTGGATGATTCAGGTCGCACCACCTGGGCAACACACATTAAAAATATTTTATTCCGATTTGGATTTGGATATGCATGGATAGCACAAGAAGTTGGGGATAAAATTGTTTTTATTTCCATGTTTAAACAGAGACTATTTGACAACTTGCAGCAAACCTGGAGTGTAAATGTGAACAGTTTAACTGACTCATTCCTATAAACATTTTAAATCGCTACTAAATGTTGAATATTTCTTAAATTCACCACTTCCATCTCACTTAAAAAGGATTTTAAGTAACTTTCCAATAGCAGTAAATACTGGAAGATACCATGCCTAACCATATGAAGAAAGACTTATTATTAATTTGGGAATCCTACAGCTCCGGTAATGCACTTTTAGATAAATATATTACCTCTAACCTTCAGCATAACTTTATCTCTATTATTTCCTCAGATGCATAAGATACCTTATATAAAATATCTATTTTTCTTAACCAAAGCTCATCAACTAAGGGTAAATAGTAAATTATCCACTGCGAATTTATAAGAAAAGAAAAAAAATGTAAATAATGTAAATTTTCCCAGTTTGTAAATATGTCATTTTGCGCAGGCTTTATATATTCCTGCATATGTATGTATTTTGGGCCAGTGGCTTTTATTGAATAAATTGTCTGTGTGTCTGTCTGTCTGTCTGCCATACATTCAATGCAAAAAATAGCCTGCCGTAAATGACGAAAACTGATTTTTCTCTATGACGTCAAAAGGCGACAGAGAGGTTACACACGAAAAAAGAAAAGGGGGCATAACTCAGCTATGCTTAGCTCCAGTTTATTTAGACTCAGGTCACTTGGTGAGAATTAGCTGTGGGTAAGGACAGTATATTTTCGTGGTATTTTGTTCACAAGTAACCAAACTATTCCAACACAAATATCGATATTGAAACTGTATACTCCGGGTCCCTTATATTACCGAAAGAAATGATGAAACTTATTTAATAAAAAAAGAAGTAATAGCGAAATGAATGGCCCTATCTAAGCTGTAAATTGGTCCTTAGATAACAACATTCTTCTGACTGGGCAAGTGTAATTTGGCTTATGTTGCACCATTAATAATGGAGTGAGTGAGTTTGGTTTTACGCCGCTTTAAGCAATATTCCAGCAATATCACGATGGGGGACACCAGAAATGGGCTTCACACATTGTAACCATGTCGGGAATCGAACCCGGGTCTTCGGCGTGACGAGCGAACGCTTTAACCACTAGCTAGGCTACCCGACCGCCACCATTGTTAATGAAGCCTTGTGATCAAATGTAATGAAATACTGAAAACATCACACCCTTCTATTTGATGTATGGCTGGTTTTATGTCTTTGACAACGTCGGAGAAAGACGACACTGGTATTTTGATTAATATATATATACTACCCTAATTACTTTTTACAATTCTTGGAGAATTATAGTATACAGTTTAATATCCTGTGATCACAATATTTAGAAAAAGATGAACATTTTGATTATATAATGCAAAACGAGACGAATAATTCGTAAATCGTTTGTGACAACGCGCACCTGCGAATCGTTAGATATCACTGTTATGTTTATCAAACGACCTAAAAAACTATTCCAAGACCAAGACAATTCTCCTGGAAATGTGTGCGTATATTTTAACGCAAAATATCCATTTGGTTAAAGTAATATATTCAGTTTAAGTTTTAAAATAAAATGAAGCGGCTATTCATGGAAGTTGTTTATATGAACTTATAATATTGACTTTGACACTCCAAAGAAATTTCTGTTGAAAAATACCAAATCATAGCAATGTATCTATTTTTAATTCCCTAATTCTTCCTATAATTCTCTTCCCATGCATATTCTGAACGAATAGACGAATGGATAGCTAAATAAAGGGGAAAATGCTACACTGTAAAATACGTATTTAGCTTTGTTTACATTTCAAACAAGTGCAGTTTTTCGAGCACAGCGTTGTTTTCACACCTTACTTATTTTGCTTGATTTGATCTCGGCACTTTGTATTGGTGACAGAGACCATGTGTCATTTGATTCTAAAATGTATGAGGAATTCAAGGATGTATGTATCACAGCTGAGTTTGAAATACGCGTAATGTTACAGGCGTCTCATTACCGGTAGGCTACATGTGAAATGTGATTTTGTAAACACTATCTAATATGGCGGAAAGTTCACAAAACTGTGAAGTGTATCTGCGTGTATGATGTATTTTGAATTTTATTCGACTTGTGAGGTTTGAAGAGGAGGGAAATATATATCCCTCTGGCATCTTGCCCCTGGGTAAAAAACAACAAATAACCCAAACCCAATCTATAGCTCTGAATTCATCTGGGGAATCGGGTCAGTCGTGAGACGAGAGTGTAAAGAAGGTGTCACGCGCTGGGAAGTAGCTTGATTGTAATGGTGAAATGGGAGAGAGAAAATAAATATCTCGCCAATCAGAAATATTTCTTTTTAAATTTCAGCAGCAATAATATGCAACACATCTCCATTTGTTAATCTATATCGCCCAAATGAGGCCTGTGCTGTACTTGCATATATCGCGAAGCCAGCATTGTGCCGCCCTGTGAATTACCGATATCGTATTTAGCCGAGAAAACAGCAGGCAGCTTTAGTGTTTAGACCTAAGCCGGAATGCCGTGACGTCATCGACAGTGTGACGTCACTGTCATTGTACATTTGGCGCCCCGTCAGCTGGGCGAACCTCGGCTCGGTCTGACGTCACCGAGTGCAGAGAGATGTAAACAAACCGTTTTTTTGTGTGTTTTTCACGATTAATTACAAACTTATGGCGTAAAACTAACACAGAAAGATATGACGACATGCATGAACATATCACGAGGTGCGGTGCTTACATACCAATCACACATCATCTCTATTTACACTCAGTTAACAATTTTCTTACCTGATCATGCGAAGTTCCAAACACAACAAATGACAAAAAAGTTTTTACAAGTTTTATTCATCTCCCAAAACAACAAACAGTTACACGTAAATAAAGACATACGTACACACGGCGACGTGAACGGCACACCACGTCACTGTCAGGTCTCGATCCTTGCCACCGTCTACACAAACACGACACTGACGTCACTGAGCGCCGCGGGACACGAGGAGATCCAACACTCGCGTATGTCTATAGAGTCTCGCCCTGTCGGCCGCCGTCCCCCCGTCGTTGTTCCTGGCGTCGATGTCCACCACGTTCAGAGACAGCACAAACTTCACCGTCTCCAAGTCTCCTCCAATACAGGCGATGTGAAGGGTGTTGTCACCGCGCCTGTCCACCAGTGACACATCGGCCCCTTTACCCACCAGGAGCTCCACCACGTCTCTGTGTCCATACCTTGCTGCCCCCATCACCGGTGTCCAGCTCCTCCTCCTACAATCGACGTCCACCCTCCGAGACAGGAGCTGCTTCACCCACTCCAGGCTCCCGGCAATGCTGGCGACATGGAGGTCCCTGCAGTCTGCTGCACTCTCCTACCCAGAGTTCCATGCGGTCGGCAGCCAGCTAGCATAGTACCTCTGCCACAGGCCAGCGCCATGTGACGATTCGTCACATCTTTCACAGTCCATTCAAGATATTGCATATGCTTTTCATCCGTTTCATGTTTTACAAGTCTACACATTTTCATAAACAAATGTCAAAGAATGGTTAACTTTCATTGAGAAAGTATGCAAATACGTAAAAATCTACTTGTTTTTGCGTAGTTATCCTATGTTTACATTGGTTGTACGGCTCCACGTGCTGTCATCGAAGCCCAACGGAGAGCTAGCGACACGGTCACTTTGATGCATAAATATATATTGTCATGCAACTCACTGTCGCAGTTGTAGTAGCATATCTATATAGTTATGCAAAACAATATGTAAAGCGCCCCCAAATACTTGCATTAGTCCGTTCTATACTGATTTCTGAAAAAGCGCGTTTGTTTACAAACAAGAGAAAAGTCCGGTCATGTGATATGCAAATTAGCCTGTGGCAGTGGTGTTATGCTGAGTCACCACTGCGACGGAGTGTGAGTCTGCTGGTGATGGAGTCGCTGTAACACAAAGTAAACTCTGTACACTTCCAGACATCTTCGCCATACATCTACATGGTTCACACCTCAACGTGGTGACACGTGACACGGTACGTCATCAACCACTTCCAACATGGCTGACAACACAAGGATCAAGGGGAAGGACGACAGCTGGTTCATGTAATCAAGGATTATGTGGTCAATGTTTAAAATCTTTCTGTCACATCCAGTTGTTGTAACATTATTCTGTGTGTGGCTGGCGAGTGTCAACGTTTCATGGACTGAGCTTTATGAGATGATACTGTCAGTACAGTTGCCCTTTGGACATATTAGATAGATCTTATAAGACATGACATTGGAGTATGTCAGTCTGTTTGTTTGTTTGTTGTTTTACGCCGCACTCAGCAGTAGTCCAGCAATAAGATGGCGGAGTCGGATAAAGACAGACAGTCCAGTGGTTGACAACATGAGCACCGATCGACACAACTGGGTACGATGACATGCAAGAAGCAAGTCAGAACCCTATGGGTCTATACCCCAGCTTGTTAATTGTTGGGGGGATTAAAGTGTGGGCTTTCTACCTGCTGGGTTCTCCCACCTACCCTGTGTAGCAGGCTTTTTTGTGGTCGTCACTGGTGTCCTCGCGGTCCGGCTCGGGTCGCTCGAGGCTGAAACACAGAACATGCTGTTCAGAAAACAATACAGACCACATAAGCATTAGACATATCAGATATTCGACAAAGTTTAGGTTTTTACAATTTTGACTGATGAATACAATTTCAAAACCATTCATCTTAGTAGAGGTATTATTATAAGGTAGTCTAGCGACTAATAAATCACTCAAACGCCTATCATAAATATACAACACAAAAATTGAGATTGCTGTTCATCTGAGCCGCGCGTCTGTACAGGCTTGTTGGATTGAGTCTTATGGTGGTACTGGCAATACAATTGACTTGTTTCAAATTATTAGAATAATAAGAGACTACATTTATCAGCTTGTTATTGTAGAGACTGTTCATATGAAGGTTTTTGGAGTGAACTTTCAGGCTTATATTTGTTACATGTTGATGTGACCTCATCTCGTACAAAGTTGGACAGTGACAGTATCTACCACCTGCTGGGTTCTCCCACCTACCATGGGTCGTCACTGTCGTCATCTGTGCAGCCCTTTCTCCGTGGCTCCGGTCGCTCGAGGCTGAAACACAAAATATGCTGTTCAGTTGGGTTGGGTGAGTTGGGTTTTACAGGTTCTTAGCAATATTCCAGCAATATCTGGGCGGGGAACACTAGACATGGGCTTCGAACATTGTACCCATGTGGGGGAATCGACCCCAGTTTTTCCGCGCGAAGGGCGAATGCTTTAACCACTAGGCTACCCACCACCCAAAACCCCCATATATGCTGTTCAGAAAACTATATATTGCAGGTAAACATTATAACTATTGGCCTCAGAGAAGCTTTTGCCTTTCAACAAATGTGTGACTTTCAAATTTATTCACTGATGAACTTAACTTATAATACATTTGTTGCAGTAGAGGCTTATTCATATATCATAGCATGGTGACTGACAAATTTTGGAAATCACTTATATTTATTAGATTTAGATTGCTTTTATCACTTCTGAGATATATCTCTTCTCTTGGTTGAAGTTGCAGGAACTGAATAGATTGTTATTTTGTTGTCATAATAATATAATCATACAACATACAACAAAAATGAACATTACTACATCAGCGATAGAAATTGGCACTCGTCCTATATTCCTTGCCAAACATCCCAATAGTTCAGATATCATAACGACTAGGCTAGTAGACATGTCATTCTTTAGGGTTTTATATGTTACCATTATGAGGACTAAGGACTAAACATGTTTATATTGCTGTACACAGAATACACAGAATATGTGCATTTATTATTTTGGAACTTTACAAGTTATACAACATGGTATTACATCAGCTACCTACCCTTAATTCTCAATTATGGAATGATTAGTATTTTAGTCTGACTTCGTTAGTTGTGGGTGGAATCGTTATGACAATGAAATGGTCCCCGCAAGTTGGTGCGTTGTTGCATAATATCTGCATTTGAGTATCAATACTGTGAATAGCAAACCTTCTTCGCTCATACAGGTCAAATACTGAACATTGTTTTCTAATTTTCATTGCCTGCTATGTTATTACTACTGCATATTTAAATAATACTCAGGTATTTGTTGCGAGTGAGAATCGATGCACACCCTTATATATATTTTGACCAGGATATGACGCCCACCACCAGTGTAATTCTGGAGGAAAATATATTTCTCGTGCATTTCAACCAACGTCTGTGGACAATGGGCATTTTACACAATTGTTACATCGTCAAATCGACTACTGTCTTGATGGTTTCTCTGGGTCCATATTGCCTTTGCCAATTGATGATAACAGGCTACTAAATGTAGAGTGCTGCGACCTATCGTAAATTATTTGTTGTTCCAAGTGACTTTGCTTGATGTTTTAGTCCCCACCCTCCCCAATACAAACACTCTCTTAACTAGACTCGGAAACTGGTGCATTTTACGTCGTTTGGTGTCTCGGGCTACACAGTATTACAAACGTCGATATACGACATGCTACAGATTAATATTTCAGTGATGACATTTTCTTGATGATATACAATCAATGTAAAATAGCAACAGGTCTACTTGACTACGCGCGTGTGCAACAGAGTAGTAATTCAGTGTCAGGAAAACCATTTGCAACACTGTCATAATTCAGCATTCCGAGCGATGCGGCAGTACATTCATCACAGATCAGCCCACTATCTGAGGCAGAAACTGTCGCCGGCACTACTTGATGTTTGATACGGTGTTTGGTTGTGTAAAGAAGGGAATAAACATGTGGCTCTATAAAGTGATAAGACTGAAATGCCGATTGCCCGTGTGACATTCGCCAAATTGTTTTCGCATTTAACGTCCGTTCTAACTTAGTCATAAAATAATGAGAATCCTGCACATTTTCTCTTACATATTCTGCATTTCCTTGCAATTCTTCAAAAACAATGCAAAAATACATTTGTTCCTGATAATATTTTCCGGATTCGAAGAACAAAGCTGCAGGCCTTGAGTGTAAAAATAATATGGCTGACACATTTGGCCGTTCTGTGATGCAGGATAACGTTTTAAAAATATAAGCGAAAAAACACATCCGACACTTGACTGAACAGATATAGAATCATCTCATATAGTCTTCAGTCCCAGTTGTAAATAATTGTTATTAGTTCAGAGATCAAACTTACAAGCATATATTTTGCAATATACTGATTAAAATAGAACAAGCTTTTCAGTTGAAACGAGGTATGAATGTTTACATCCAGACGTTTGTTATCCCCGGTGACAGGCTAAACAAACGTCTGGGTGTAAACATTGTGTGAAGCAAGCACCTGATTCCTTCAAAATGTATTCTATTTACAATGTTTGTTTCATTTAATTTCCTAACAAAATTCTGAAGTACAAGCGGAAAACTTACCCACCGTTTACGTCCTAACACGAGTGACACGTCCCACTGCCAGTCAAGAAACGCAAGAAACGCCTTGACTGGCGAAGGGGCGAGCTATGACGTCAGTGTGACGTGTCTGGTTAGGAGCATGTCATAGTTAGGCGCTCGGCTGCTTGTGCCGATCACTCTAAGATAATACAGTGTGGAGTGATACTAGAAGTATTACTACAGTCTCACCTTATTTCGTCTCAGATTGCATGTTTAGGTAAAAAATTAAGCCTACTTCATTGGTTAAAGAAATCTACCTCATCACCGTCCGTAAAATATGTCTTTATTTTTATGCTAAGATGCTTCCCTAAAAGATCAAAGGCACCGACAATACTTTATCCTGCGACAAAGCATTGTTTCCGCGTGAAGATCCGGAGTAGAATAAGGTCTCGAGCAACCCATGCTTGGCGTAAGAGGCGAGGTCGGGTGGTCAGGCTCGTTTACTTGGTTGATGCATGTCATCGATCCCAATTGCGTGGATCGATGTTCATGATATTAATCACTGGATTGTCTGGTCCAGACTCGATTATTTACAGACTGCCGTCATTTAGATGGAATATTGCTGAGTGCGGCGTTAAACAACAAACCAACCAAACCAACCATGCGACAACAGTCACAAAATTGTTCGATTTGGGCGTTGGTGCCCTAAGAAATTAAGTATGTCTTCAGCATGGATCGATGCTCATGACATCAATCACTGTAACGACTCGATCTATTGACTGTAACGACTCGATCTATTGACTGTAACGGCTCGATCTATTGACTGCAAGCCTGCACTTCTCACTTTACCATGGGAACATATTTTTAAACTGGTCGAGCCCGACTTGCCTGGCCCTCGCCCTGCATGAGACATCATTTTGGCTTGTTAAGAACCATCAGACCATGAACTCATGTTTGTGTTTTGATCGGAAAATTACCAAGAACTACTGACCAGTTCCTCAACCTTATCACAAGCAAACATAGCATTGAAGCTATCGCGACGGTAGCCACCATTTTGAATGTTGTATTTGTAAAACATGTCGGCCGCTGACATAGTGGTGAAGTGTTGCCTTGTCGCTGTTGCATTTCGTATTGGTTATTTTCAAAAATTTTACTGAACATGAAATTTGATTGAAGATGAATGCGCCCAGGTATTTAACTCAGTCACAGCAATAACACATGTGCATACTTAAGTCCGTTAAGTAGGAACTAAATCTGCGGGTTAAAGAGTCGTTGGTTATCTGATAAACTAGTAATTTATCGATAAAGGATCGTCAAAAAGGATATCCTGAATGACTATTATTTCGCGCCGCTTTTAACAGTATTTCGGTTATACCACCGTGTGTCTAGCTTGATGTGGGAGGAAAATACGAAATATTGTATAGTGCTGGGATTCGAACCTACGATTATAGATTTCTTGCACGCCCAGGGGACGCAACTCTTCACTGCGAATTGTGCCGCCTAAAACGACTGGGTCAACCGTGTCTGTCTGTCTGTCTGTCCCTTTGTATAAATAAGATAACTATATTTACGCGACTAAATGTTACTCAAATGGACTCTCCTGAAAGTGTCAATCTTATTCTGCTTTGTATATGCGCGACGGAACGGTCGCTATACCTGCTATATACCAATTAACAGAATATTTATCTATATAAACAGGGCGTTAAAAAAAACCTTGACAATGCGGTTCTGACAATTCAATCAGGAAGACGAGTTTTTTTCAAAATGGAACTCAGAAAGGTGACAATGTTTCATCATGTGTGGTTATTTCGGCGTCTGTCATATAACAACTATAACTCCTGTATCCATGATCAGATTCTATATTTCTACAGGGCGTTAGAAACCTATCGACAGTGCGGTCCTGCAAACATTATCTTCCGAGTTATCAGGCAAACAATTGTTTTGAAACAGGACTCAGAACGGTGGAAAGTTTGCTCTCCAAATCCTTATCCTAAATCTGAATTCACATTTATTTAAATGATTGGAATGACTATGTGAATGCGGTTAGGGGATTGTGGGTTGAAGAACTCGTGGGTACCAATGATGTGTAAGACGATGGAGGCGATGATTCGGAGACATCGATGTTGAAAATGATGAGCCTGATCTAAAGTGGTCTGTCGGTTTACACGGGTGGCCCGGTCGTCTATAGGGCGCGATTGTGGGTTCGAATCCCGGTTTGTCCCGATTATGTTTCTAGGTTTGTCAGCACCATACCCGTGCTCGTGGGTTTCACCGACCTGCATCACTTCGGGCTTAGCTCCCCATTAAGCTGACTCGTCGTGATATAACTGCAATAATATTTGAAGCGGCGTTTAAACCAACTCACCCAAAACATGTGCGGCGGAAGGATTTTTGCTGATCAATTCCCGTCTATGACTTGTCACAGATTCTTGTTACTTCGCGTGTCCCGCTGTGATATTGCTGGAATAATGCTAAAAGCATACTCACTCACTCACTCACTCACTCACTCACTCACTCACTCACTCCGCGTGTCATACAAAGATACCTTTCACAGATATGTCAGGCACCTTTATCACACGAAGGACGTATAAATAATCAATTGATAATATTTTCATTTATGCTTCAAAATAATTTTCTACTTTAATGTTTCAACAAGGGGGGTCCACCGCCACTGAACCCCCCTGTGCTGTCTGTGTAAGAAAATACGGATCTGCAGACAGCGTTCGGCTTCGACCGTAATAAAGAACTGCGCATGCGTGGAACGCGTTTCATTCGACAACCTCCCTACAAATATAAAAACTACTGACGTCTACCCCTATGTCTGTATACCAGAGTTAAATTAATTGTTCTAACTCTTCGGGCGCTTTTAAAGCTGAATGTATTTGGTGATAAATGTCACCGTTTAAGAAAATGTCTATATTACTGGTTAACCAAATCAACGCCAAATGAAAATGGCAGACAAAATTCCATGCAACTGGGCCTAATGTATATTTAGCACGAAAACAAAACTATTGTGTCTATATCATAAGTCTCCACGGGACAACTGCCATTTCAAGGAACCACCTCTCAATGTATACTATAGATCACGCTTTTACTTTGTGTTTTTCCACATTTACAGGAACGAACGATCGAGCCGATCGAGGTAAGGCCAACTAGGCCAAGTGATGAAACTAGACTCGTGACTGCAAATATATAAATTGTCAATGCAAGAGTGAGTGAATGAGTGAGTATGTTTTTAGGCCCTTTTTAGCAATATTCCAGCAAAATCACGGCGGGGGACACCAGAAATGGGCTTCACACATTGTACCCATGTCGGAAATCGAACCCGGGTCGTCGGCGTGACGAGCGAACGCTTTAACCACTAGGCTACCCGACCGCCCCTCAATGCAAGAGAATAACAAATCTAGATTATCCGCCGAAACAGATTCCATTTTGGATAGAGGGCAAATAGCGGTAAAGATTATGTGAATGAGCACTGAAAATCAGTGATGACACCAGGTGTTCGCGAAAAGAATAAGCATGTCCTGACCTACGGGTAGCGCCCGCACTGTATGGTGGCATGTGCTCTTACTGCAATAACATATTCTCCCTTGAACAGTTTGTTTTTTCAACTATATGTAATAGTTTTCTGAAAAATCTATGGGATGTGTGGGTAATTGAAATAATGCCTTATGGGTAATTGAGTAGAAAGTACATGCATTTCTATTTCTTTAAACAATTGCCAATAACATGTCACGTTTGGTAATTTTTCGACTTTTGTAAGCTGTTTAACCCCGAATGCAAGACATTTGTAAGAAAGTTTACCGCAATAATGAGCGTGAGACAGTGAGATCATCGTCCTGTAGAAACATTTTGACAAGCAGGTATAAATTTTCCCTCGGAAATAGCTTGAGTTAATAGTAATAGGGCATGCCTTAATCCTTTAATAGGGCGTGCCTTCACGAAAAGGACATATTGTGAATGAATGAAAAATGAAGCAAAACGATTCGGTTTGGTACGTCGTGTGCCATTGTAACAGGCGGACATACGGTATAGTTTATTAACGATATGTAAAGCATGTGCATGGCAGGTCAGTTATGCGACAGATGTAAAACATTTGAGTTAATAGTGAGTCACTGATTGAGAGAATTCAATCTAAGGCCGCATATAAGCCATGTAACGAGGAGAGGAGTTTGTCAACCTCTGAGTGCCCCTAGCATTAACTGCCAGTCTTCCGTCTCACATGCACGAAGTCAATCACATTCCTGTAAATTATTAGGTAACCCGCAATATTCTTTTTGCTCTATCACTGGGCGTTGAACGTGTCATGACATGATGCGCACGCAAATCGAGTGGGTGAAGAGCGAGATGCTCGAGATGATTGATACTAGATGTAAGTATAGTTGTCAGCGATAAGATTCAGTGAGGAGATTTGAGTTATTTATGTAACTTAACATCACTTTTAGAACTAAACAAAAGATGGAGAGACGTATTTCATTTCGCGAATATTATGTGCCGGTATGTGTCCAACTTAATCTCTGATATTTCTAAGCGGGGTACTTGTGAAGCATATGACAAGGGACTGATAGAAAAGTTCTCTCCTTAAAGGTTGTTCATACATGGCTTCAACCACGAGGTGTTAATGAAGCACAGTGCTGGTGTATGATGTCTACTGTACAGTGTTAGAAGTGTTAATGACACTTCCCGCCTCAATTAGAAACACAGGTCTGGTGTATCATGTCTACTGTACAGTGTTAGAAGTGTTAATGACACTTCCCGCCTCAATTAGAAACACAGGACTGGTGTATCATGTCTACTGTACAGTGTTAGAAGTGTTAATGACGTTTTCTGTCGCCATTAGAAACACAGGGCTGGTGTATCATGTCTACTGTACAGTGTTAGAAGTGTTAATGACGTTTTCTGTCGCCATTAGAAACACAGGACGCCTTTGGTGTTTATATTTTACAAATTTTGAGGTACAATCAACCACGCTCTTTCTGCCAAGATTTCAAAGACCGTCATCTGACTCTTGCTCAAAAGTTGTTTGGTCAAGGTTACAACGTTCAAGGCCTCAGTAAACCTTTCAAAAAGCTTTATGGTAACCAAGTGGAGGAAAATTTCCAAATTTGATGCGTCAGTGACAAAACTGATGTCCGACACAATTCCCTTATTTGACTCCCCTTTTCGCAAACACCTGGTCTCACCATATGCTCATGATAGTTTTCAATATTCCCAACAGTTAATAGAAATCCAACCTTTCTGTTTCTGTTCCGTCAAGTCTTGGATTTGTTTCTCACGCAGCGCATCACGGTCCTCAAGTTCCTGTATCTGTAATGATGAAATTCAAGTTTAGTCTGGTGGATCAATTTATTGACACACTCATAAACTAATCATACTAATAACACAAATACAAAGAAAATATTATAACGAAATCAGCAAACCTGGGAATGAGTGAGGTTTTACGCTGCTTTTAGCAATATTCCAGCAATATCACGGTGGGGGACACCAGAAATTGGCTTCACACATTGTACCCATGTCGGAATCGAACCCGGGTCTTCGGCGTGACGAGCGAACGCTTTATCCACTAGGCTACCGGACCGCCCCCACAAAACTGGGACAACGGTCCATTATGTCATTTCGAAAGAGTATTTTGGTTGAGTACTAGTATATGCAGGAGTATTTACCTGACAGGTTGAGTATAGACAGGAGTATTTACCTGACAGGTTGAGTATAGACAGTAGTATTTACCTGACAGGTTGAGTATATACAGGAGTATTTACCTGGCAGGTTGAGTACTAGTATATATAGAGGATTCATCACGAGTGTTTTTTAATATGGGAAATATCAACCGAGTCTTAGTTAATCGTTATTTGCCGAGCCTTTGGCGAGAAAACATTTATTATTTGAGACCGCTGACTGTTGTCTACTGTCGTTTTGGATATAACGCGAGGGGCCGCTCTGCATGACGTGAGTTTCATCAACAAGCTGGGATGTCACAGTGTGAGATGGAGTATTTCGTGAAATGATGTTGGATATTTGCTTGTGCTGGTCAGGATTAATATGGCAGTAATTGTTCACGGAATGGATGTTTTTGTGGCCAGTTGTCTGCATTATTTGATTTGGCAGAACATTATTGTCATTCAACTTTTGCACAATGAGTTTGCGCGCAGAGTGATTTGTGAGTCGTTTCGATGTTTGGAGACTGGCGGCATTAGCACATGTTTTTCATGAGAGAGAGGAAAGTTTGTTTTTCCCAATACGATGGCGGATAAACCACTGATCGCCAGGTTTAGGCATGCCTAAAGTGTGTGTGCCGATGTAAAAGGGATCGTCATCTCGACAGAAGTCGAGTGGACGCGTGGAGGCATACAACTGTTACACCTGCACAGGGCACCGGGAGGGATCAGCAACATTAGCCCACATTTTCTAACACCGTTATCAAGCTGAAGCGACAACAACCGAGCGATGAGATACATATATGCATGACATGGTGTGATAAGCAGCAGGTTCACATTGACAACAACAAGTGATAGATAACAAATACACACAGGCTCATGAATATTCATAGAGCACCTTGTGGTAGGTTCCTAGCTTATCAAATAGACTGGTTCTGACTCACCCTTTGCTGTATTCCCTGAAAGTCCCTATGGGTGTCCTTGGTCAGCTCGCCTCGTAGTTTGCCAAGACTCTCTTTGTAAGAGTCTCTTTCCCGTTTAACTTTTCTGAACTGGCGTTTAACTGATCGGAGTTGTGTCTTTGTGTTATGAATGCTGGCTTTCAGGCTTTTGACTATATCAAGAACACGTCCGCTGATAATATTGCCAATGTATTCTTCTTTCAGGATGCCAGTAATCGCTTGCTTCACTAGAGGCTTTATCAAGGCAGGGATGAACGTGTCAGTCAGTTCTTCTTTCAGTGATGACTCCAGCAAGTCAAAGTTGTTACTCATTTCAGTCCCCAAATCATCAACTGTGCCTTTCCACGCCTGCATCGTTCTGTCCAGCAGGTTTAGTTTCCTAGAGAAGGCTGCCAAATTGGTATCAGCATGTACGTCTCTGACACCTAACAGCAACACAAGACTGATGAATATAACTCCAGACATCTTTGTTGTGCATAAGCGACTGTGTGGCCCGCAGTTAGAAAACGACTGATACACCGACTGATACACCGACCCTGCCCGGGGATACAGCTGCTCCATATAAGTACTTCCTGTGTGCACATGTAGCTTCATAACAGCAAACATGGCGGATAATCCCAGTTATCACAATAGTGTCGTGCGGAGGGTATTACCACCATTCAAGAAATAATATATTAGGAAGATTTCTTTTTTGACATTAATTAATCTGCCGCCAACCCCTTTATCATTAACGATGTATGTAAGTAACTTGAGAATTGACTTCACTTTGTGTGAAACTGTTTGTGCCTCTCTTTATGAAGGTTTATACTCCAATGAACTCACACAAAGTACAAGTCAATTTATTTCACTCGTTCTAACTCGAAAGATGTAGATCGATACACAATTTTATTTAGTATGTGTGACTTCATGTTTACACTGACACCCACCCAACAGCCAGCTGTATCGCGGAATGAAGTGACAGGAGCATATGTATGATCGACGTGTTCTTAAGTGACATCTTTGTAGTTAGTTTACAAGAAATAGCCTCAAATGATAACATCATAAGTAGAGAAATGTCTGTTAAGAAATACCTCAGCCAGAATGGCAGCGCGTCGTAATACAGATACATCAGGCACAAGACGTTAAAATGGGCGACACGATAAACGTAAATGAACAAGTGTCAGACCAGGATGGGTCGTAGCGAGGATATTCGTGCACGATCCTGCAGTCAAACTCACCTACTTTTCTCAATGACACCTTATCAACTTATCAACCATGTAGTCTCACATATATCTCATGATCCACCCATCCCAGACACCCACGTCTATATCTATCATGTACTCTCACATATATCTCATGATCCACCCATCCCAAAAACCCAGGTCTATATCAACCATGTACTCTCACATATATCTCATGATCCACCCATCCCAGAAACCAACGTCTATATCAACCATGTACTCTCACATATATCTCATGATCCACCCATCCCAGAAACCAACGTCTATATCAACCATGTACTCTCACATATATCTCATGATCCACCCATCCCAGAAACCCAGGTCTATATCTACCATGTACTCTCACATATATCTCATGATCCACCCATCCCAGACGCCCAGGTCTATATCTACCATGTAGTCTCACATATATCTCATGATCCACCCATCCCAGAAACCAACGTCTATATCAACCATGTAGTCTCACATATATCTCATGATCCACCCATCCCAGACACCCACGTCTATATCTATCATGTACTCTCACATATATCTCATGATCCACCCATCCAAAAAACCCAGGTCTATATCAACCATGTAGTCTCACATACATCTCATGATCCACCCATCCCAGAAACCAACGTCTATATCAACCATGTACTCTCACATATATCTCATGATCCACCCATCCCAAAAACCCAGGTCTATATCAACCATGTACTCTCACATATATCTCATGATCCACCCATCCCAGAAACCAACGTCTATATCAACCATGTACTCTCACATATATCTCATGATCCACCCATCCCAGAAACCAACGTCTATAACAACCATGTACTCTCACATATATCTCATGATCCACCCATCCCAGAAACCCAGGTCTATATCTACCATGTAGTCTCACATATATCTCATGATCCACCCATCCCAGACACCCAGGTCTATATCTATCATTTTGTCCTACATATACCCCATGTTCTACTCATCCCTGACATCAAGATTTATATGTACCATGTAGTCTCATCTTTTCCCTTGATCCTGGACTGTTTTCACATTTCATGTAATCTTTATTAACTTAGACTTGTCAGTATGAACGTGAAACACTCCTGTTTACAGTCAATAGTATCGAAGACATTTTACTTTCTAAAATAAAAATATAACAGTATCACTATCTGAAGCTGAGATTCTGATTGCCGGATGCAGACAACTGTAAGTGAACGAGGGTTGACGTTGAGATACACTTAAGCGGAATGTTGCAGTCCATGCCTTTATAACACGCGGCACATGTATCACGGATAACTCATGTGGAATAACAACACTCACCTGAAACCCACAGCTGCAACCCACAGCTTCAGCTCACAGCTAAAACCAACAGATTCAACCCACATCTGCAGCCCACAGCTTACACCCACAACTGAAACCCACAGCTTCAACCCACAACTGCAACCCACAGCTTCAACCCACAACTGAAACCCACAACCCACAACTGAAACCCACAACGCACAAGTGCAATCCACAACTTCAACCCACAGCTTCAACCCACAACTGAAACCCACAACCCACAACTGAAACCCACAACGCACAAGTGCAACCCACAACTGCAACCCACAGCTTCAACCCACAACTGCAACCCACAGCTTCAACCCACAACTGAAACCCACAACCCACAACTGAAACCCACAACGCACAAGTGCAACCCCAACTGCAACCCACAGCTTCAACCCACAACTGAAACCCACACCTGCAACCTACAACTGAAACCCACAACCCACAACTGAAACCCACAACGCACAAGTGCAATCCACAACTGAAACCCACAACGCACAAGTGCAATCCACAACTGAAACCCACACCTGCAACCCACAACTGAAACCCACAACCCACAACTGAAACCCACAACGCACAAGTGCAATCCACAACTGAAACCCACAACGCACAAGTGCAATCCACAACTGAAACCCACACCTGCAACCCACAACTGAAACCCACAACCCACAACTGAAACCCACAACGCACAAGTGCAATCCACAACTGAAACCCACAGCTGCAACCCACAACTGAAACCCACAACGCACAAGTGCAACCCACAACTGAAACCCACAGCTTCAACCCACAACTGAAACCCACAGCCCACAACTGAAACCCACAACGCACAAGTGCAATCCACAACTGAAACCCACACCTGCAACCTACAACTGAAACCCACAACGCACAAGTGCAACCCACAAGTGCAACCCACAGCTTCAACCCACAACTGAAACCCACAACCCACAACTGAAACCCACAACGCACAAGTGCAACCCACAACTGCAACCCACAGCTGCAACCCACAACTGCAACCCACAGCTTCAACCCACAACTGAAACCCACAACCCACAACTGAAACCCACAACGCACAAGTGCAACCCACAACTGAAACCCACACCTGCAACCTACAACTGAAACCCACAACCCGCAACTGAAACCCACAACCCACAACTGAAACCCACAACGCACAAGTGCAACCCACAACTGAAACCCACACCTGCAACCTACAACTGAAACCCACAACCCGCAAATACGATCGAAATATCAGAGGAGGAAAAGTTCTTCTGAATTATTTGACAGAAATGTTTTTTATGGACGACGGTTAGTTCATCGAGCACGCAGCCCATTATGCCGTGAGTCGAGTGTTGTCAACACCAACACTCGAGACCGTTATATCCGCTCCTTGACCCAGAAACGATATGCTGACATCTACGAGGTGGTACGACAGAGTCGGCGACGGATGTGAAGCCTGCACATGTCTAGTCATGTAACCAACGAGGAAAGATATCGATAGAACGTTAATATCACATGTTACCGCTGATACAGTTAAATTCATCACACAATAAAATAATAGTATTGGATAATGCTGAATGCGTGCTCTTGAAAGTACATGTTCATTAGAGTAATGTACATACTAGTCAAATTGATTGCAATAAAAAGGTGATAGTATAGCGCGGCATCAACGATGTATTGACGTCGGACATCGTCAGTAGACACACATTTAGTCCCCGAGATAAAATTGTCGTAGTCACAAATACGTATCTTCAAAATAAAATCCAATGGAGCCCAGAACAGTGCTTAATTTCAGGGGTAGAACTGAAGCAATACAGACTTGCCAAATCGTTCTAGACCTGATTGATATCTATAAATATTCAATAACAGCCAAAGCAAGTCTGTATCAAACTAAACCAAGTCTAGTTTCCTTGATTCCACATATGAAAACAGCAGAAGAGGAAAGTTTTTTTTGAAAACAAACATATTTTAAGGAAAGGTGAGGTGAAATGGGGTTTAACGTCTCGTCAAAGATTATTGCACTTATATAGCGACGTGCATGTACATGTGTGTGTTTGTGTGGCTGCTTGTACTAGTCCGGAATGATGCCGATTGATAGTGCTAGCCCACTGAGATACCATGCCACAGTTTAACATGAATACCCCACTCAGACACAGTATACTGACTCCGTTTTAAGGAAAGGTTTTCATCGATTAGTGTTAGTCAAGGAGAATCCAGCTAGAGCCAGTCTGGGTCAGTGTTATCGGATATGTTGGACTGTTTGCTGAAAAGAACAAGAGCACACGGACAAGGGTAAAATGTAGAGATTAGAGCATTACCACCACACAAGAATCTGTTATATAAGATATATGTTATTGTCATTTGAAACCTCTGAACAATTACGAGTTATTGTATACTCTGTAATCTTTCGTCATGGACAGCCTCCGTGGTCAAGTGGTAGAACGTCCGCCCGGAGAGAGGAAGGTCGGTGGTTCGATCCCCGGCCTCGTCATACCAGAATACATTAAAAGCTGGTACTTGTCGTTACACTGCCTGACGCTCGGCATTAAGGGGCTAAAATAAAGACTGGTCCGCTCGGAGTACACTGTTTTTGAGTTGGGTATTTATGATGTGGCATGGTATCTCAGTCGACTGGCACTCTAAAATCTCCGGACTATACACTTAGCCACACACACACACACACATGCACATGCGGCATGCAGACCGCTATATAAGAGCAATAATCTTGAAGGCCACATTAACTCTCACATCACCTTTCGCCATGGTAGAATAGTTTTGTTTTATTTTGCTTGAATTATCAACAAATAATTAGAGCTGCATTGTTAACACCAACCTGGAGATATACAATATCACTACTGAAGTGCATATCTGATCAAGAGGACAAATCCGCTAATATTTCCTTCTTAAATAATGACCGTTACAGGCATTCAAATCATCATATTACACCAGAGACCATAAAATATAGTCTATTCTATTCTCTGATTATACTATGTGTAGTTTAAATGTCGGAGGGTGTTGAATAATATTTCACTCAGCAATATTCCAGCTGTATAACGGTGGTCTGTAAATAAAAGAGTCTGGACCACACAATGCAGTGATTGACACCATGAGCATCGATTGGGATATGTATCAAGTCAGTGAGTCTGACCACCCGATCCCGTAAGTCGCCGATTATGACAAGCATGGGTTGCTTGGAACGTATTCCAACCCGGATCTTCATAGGTATTTTCTTTAAATAATAAGATATCAAAATTAGTATAAGTAAGTATAGTTGTTGTATATATTTAAATAGGTTTGTCATGAACCCAACCTTGTTTAAATTATATGGGAAGATGAGCGGTAACAATTTGTTATTTTAAATCAGAATGATAGCACAGCAGGAAAGAAAGCATAGCATAATACGCGTATCTTGTTAACTTAACAGTTTTTAAATAAGAGCAACCTATACATCAAGAGTATAGGTTTGGTGCGCGTCTTATCATGTTCTGTTTATCGCGGGCTCCTGTAACTGGCGATACATGTCATACCACGATTAATACGGGTAAATACGATCTACTCCAGAACAAGAATAGATTACTTTGGGTTAGGGGAAAATGTCTGTAATTATCATAACTTTGGAGTTCGACAAGCGTCGTGCTCGGGGGTTGTTTGGTCGTGTCCAAGGGATTCAGGGCCTGGGTGCATGGGGCTTTCGATAGGTTTT